TATTTGGCTTATTCTAATGGAAAATCTTGAAATCTGTGCTTACTGCTGTTACACATCAGCATTTACCTGGGGACCACTGAGTGTTCCTGAGCTACCACAATACTGAGCTACCGCTTCTCAAGGAATATGGAGATGATGCAGTCCTGCAGCTGAGATCCCTCCTTGGTAGGCATGGATAGCCTTTGGCTTCATGGCTATATTTAATAACAGCTGCCATATGACATTAGCTGAGTTGCTTTCAAATTTTGATTTATAATAAGTTCTGTAAAGCAGAGTTAAATGTGGTAGAGAGTAGGAATCAGAAAAGCTAGACTGTTCTGAAAATGGATATAAGAATGGGTTCTACTGCTACTCTAAATGTAGGATTGTTCTTCTTCAGTTCTTTTTAAAGTGAGTGTACAAAACACCATGAACTAAAAAAAAAAAAAAAAAAGTATACTTTTATAAGGTGCTGTAAATGCTAAAATCTGAAGTGTTGTAACTTGTTGAGATTTTTTGCTATTCTTAATTGTTTGAAATAATAAAATTAAAATCCTGAAGAGTGTTTTTAGTTAGATGGCTCTTATTTGAGTACTCTGGGTAACTTTGTGATAAATGAGTAGGAAAAAAAAATTGTGCAATTCAACTACTTAATATTTATTTTAAGTTTCTTATTTAAGAAGGAGGGAGGCAGTTGCTTTTTAAAATCTTAAAAGCTACTTTTATGTTTAGGAGTGGTCCTAGCAATATATGTAATATGTTCAGCCCAATATTTAGGCTTCTTTCTGCAGTACATCTTATTGATTTCTTCTTTATTCAAAGAACAGAGGCTCAATGTCCAAACTAAAAAAGAGAAAAATCCCTAATAAGAGTATTTTGTTGGGGTTAATGTTCTCTTTAACAGGAGAAATAGCTATTAAGTTGAGCAGGAGCAATGTCATGTTTTATGGAGTAGTTTTTGTGTTGTACTCTGGCCAGCTGTACTTTGTGCAACTCACCTGCCTCCTTTTCCATGTTAGAATCTGAAATGAGAAGAGGTTGTGAATCATAGAATCACAGACTTACTGAGGTTGGGAAAGACCACAGAGATCATCTAGTCTGACCATCACCCCATCACCACTGTAACACTGAACCATCAGACTAGATGTCCCTCAGTGGAACATCTACTCTCATCTTGAATGTCTCCAGGGATTTTTTTCCTAATATCCAACCTGAATCTCCCCTGGTTGGCTGGCAATGTGGGGCCATTACCTCTCATCCTAATTGAAGTGCCATGTCCAAGTTGAATATGAGTTGACAGTGCAACTGGAACTAAAACTCTTCTGATCTTCAAAGGTTAAAGTATTTTATCATATGCTTGTGTCTCTTGCACAGTACTGAAGATTGTGTGATATTGGCCAAGTAGGGATGTAAAACTCAGGTTTTTAATTGAACTTTGGCAATGATAGATGTATTAGTCTGGTCCCAGTTATGAGTTTCGTTAAAAATACTGTATTTCTAGTCTTGCTGTTGCTGATGTCCAGACTCTTCTTGGATTCACTTTGCATTGGCCGTGCTCTTGGTTGACACACAGTGTTGAGTTTCTGAGCCCTGTTGTAGCCTTCCTGCTCCTCAAGGCAGCTGACCATCATGTTAACATGGTCATAATGTGCACTTTGGTTTTAAATAAAACCACTTGTAAACTGTTCCTGTTTGTGTTTGTAGGTAGTCACCAGAGCTGCTGGTTGCTGTTACTGCTCTTGCTATTCGCTTGCTGCTTCCCCTTCATTTCCATCCACCTCTGTAACTCTTAGAACTGCTAGACATCTGGAGAATGAATCCTTTTTGATTTTAGAGCCTATCAGTTACAGTTATTTGCTAAAAATCAGCTGTTAGAACTGGTCTTTCACAGGACAGTAAGGTGAAGCACTAGCTTACCAATGTTTCTTAAATTTTTTCTACAACAGTTGCATTTGCTGATCTATCTGTATTGTGCTTTTAATTTTGAGCATTCTTTGTAATCAACTCTGCATCGTTTTGTTTGCTTATGGTTTTGCTTTATGTTAGGTTATCATAGAATCATAGCATGGCTTGGGTTGGCAGGGACCTCAAGGATCATCAAGCTCCAACCCCCCCCTGCCACATGCACGGCCACCAACCTCCATATCCACCATACAAGTTAACAAAATGTTTTAATCTTATATTTTGTATTCTGAAATATGATTTAGGGTGCTGCTCCATAGCTTGCTTGCTGCCAGAATTTAAGAAAGTTCTACGTAGGTGGAACTATTGAAGAGGATTTCTTTTTGTATGTAGTGTCTACACTCCTAAACTGACTGGAGATCTTCCATGGACCTCCATGAACTTGGATTGAGCTTGTGGTTACTTTCCAGACTTGAACTGTTCTGAACATAAAAAAGTCTTTTTGTCTTGAGCTCTTGTCTTGATAATTGGTGGTAATAGGAAATGAAATGCCTGAAAAGAAAGGAGCATTTATTTGAGGCTTCACTGGAGTGGGGCTGCATCAAGTTAAAAGGCTCCAGGTGTGCATGACATTGAAACTTGTCTGTGCGGTTCAATCACTGGGAAAGTGGCATTTATCAAGGACATAACTTCAACTTGTCTGACTGCAAATATGGACTGTCAGAAAAGACAACTTAAAGTCCAATAGCAGACCCTGCAAAAAAAACCAAAAAGCTGTTTTTTTCCCCCAGAAAAAGAAAGTTCAATGCATGACAGCGTGAGGTTTTTCGTTTTTAAGTACAGTAAATGATTGATTGTTCCATTTGTTTCTTAACACATTTGAGAGCTGGATGTTTGGTTTTAATGATTAGCTTTGAGAATAGCTTTTTAGTAACTGGAAAGGTAAAAATTGAGCTGCAGGATTTGAATGCAAAGCTTTAGATTTTGTTGCGTGTGGTTTAGATGATACTTTCACTGGATGTCGTAGCTTTTTCTAATGACATTTTCCTCTTTGCTTTCCTTGCTGCATTTTCATCTCTCAGCTTCTCAGTTTGACAAATGTTGTTGCTGATTTTGTTCTTGCTTTGTTGAAATTGCTGACAGCTCGCAGGGCAGTGATGAATGCCTGCACACCCCCCCAGAGTGACTGGGGGTTAAAGCACCTTTGTGATTGGGAAATTTGGGATACATTCCCACCTGCCAAAGAAAGGAGATAAAATTAGAACTTATGTTTACTTCTACCCAAAGTTTCTAAGCTGTGTCTGCACTGCTTGTTGACCCTTCTCCATTTGTGTGCACTCTGACGTGTTACCTCTTTGGGGAGATGTGAATTTGGTTTTTTCTTTCATCTGCAGCATGGTTTTATGATCATATTTAAATAACTGCTCAAAATAGATTTTGGGAAGAAGAGGATGAATAGTTCATTGTGTGAAATGATAGGAGCCATGTGAGTGCTCTTTGACTTCAGTATAGCTGGGATTAGGAGGAATCCTGTTCAGTCCTCTGATTGACAGACAGAAATTCTGTTGACAAAATTTAGGCTTTCAAGAGGTCTTTAAGGAAATCATGATGAAGTTCTCCCCTGTGGATTGCCAATATATCATTGTTTGATTGTTCTGTGACTTATATTAAGCGATGCTGAGTAATCTAGATGCAGGTGCATATGGCAGAGCAGCAAATGGATGCTCTCCTTCCATGCAAAAAAGTTCTTGTTTAGCAGCACTTTTCGGGAGTAAGGAAGGAAGGAATGCAGTTTTCTCATAGAAACTACTCTTAATTTAAAAAGTTGGAGTGCCCCAAGGCTATTTTGGGGTCATTCTTGACTTGAAGGCAAGCACAATAATGCTCTGTTGATGTATGTTCTTTCAGTATGGTTAATATTTACTGGTATTAAGGGACCAGACCTTAGCTTGGATGTCTGCTTACTGTATCTCCTTGCTTCTCATTTTTAATGTTTAGCTGACAGGTTTGCTACAAACTTAAATCCTGAAAAGCAAGCAAATGCCATATTTCACCAATAGTAACTTAAATTATTAGATATTTTCTTCTAAAAATGTAAATACCTGCTTTTCTCTGTAAAAGGTGATGCACAGTAAAATAAGCTATGCTTGCAGTTATTTCCAATTCATTTCAACATCAACCTTAAAGTTAGGGATGCTGCTGGGGAGTGCTGGATCTTTCTAAGCAATTTAGAAGATTTGTGAAATTTTTAGAAATAGTAAACTGGGAGAGATCCGAACTGATAACAGTGCTGCTTTAATACCTTAATTTGTCCTTCCTGGTACATTTTGTTCATGGCCTTTTTTCAGGGCACAAAGAAGATTAATTAAGTTTCTCATTCTAGTGGCCTCTGGATGCCGGTCTGTTGAAGTGCACGAGCAGGGCAGCGTTGCTTATGGCTTGTACACATCATTGCATGTCTGCATTTTCATCCCTGGAAGTGTTCAAGGCTGGCTCAGATGGAGCTTTGATCAATGTGACCTAGTGGGAGGAGTCCCTTTCAACCCAAACTCCCCCATTCCAAGCCAATTGTGAACTCCTTGCTACTGTTGCATATGATGCTATGATCCCAGTCTGGTGCTTGTGCAGAATTATTGTCCTTTATTTGGAACTTGATAAGCAAACATTAAAACAAAAAACAGAACAAAACAAAACACACCACAAATAAACTGGAAATGGGAGTAATGTTTCATTGGTGTTAATGTAATGAAAAGAATAAAGATACTGAAACAACAATGTCAATATCTTAACACTTTTCCACACTATAATCCTTCTAGTTTGATACCCTTTGCTTTAATTTATTTAATAAATGATATTTAAAGTAGCTTGTCTTATACATATGTTCATGATTTTTGAAGAATGCTCATTAGATTTCAATTATTTGCATACTGAATCCTCTCTGTATGTTGATTTTTCTCTTAAGAGTACAGATAGTGAAACACAACTTGAGCCTTTTCTACTTCAAAAGAATTTGTGGATAGAGCTGTCCTGGTATTTAGATATTCCTCCAACTGAAGGGAAGGATTCTGAGAGGTGCGTGAAATGACCTTGGGAAGTTGTCATGTGTGTTTTCATTCCAGGTGTCAGCAGTGGATTCCTTGGAGGGTCCCCTTCTTCAAGTGGAGGGATTGAGTGATCTGAGACTGGAGCTCCACAGCAAGAAGATGAACATGCACTTAGTCCTGATAGATGAGTTACACCGTCATCTTTACATCAAATCAACTAACAAAGTGGGGCAGCGCAACAAGGAGAAGGGGAGAATAAGGTTGGTTTGATTGATGCTGACTAAGGGCAGTGGCTCTGGGAGGGAAGAGGACAACCTTCACCCTGTCATCAGCTGAAAATTTCTTGGGACTGTAACATCAATTGGAATTTTCATTCTTAGATTTGTTAGCAACTTCCTTTTGCTCATGGCTGTGAAGATCCTGAAACCCCCATGTATGTTGGTGCTCTGTGGAGCCTTCGAGCAGTTCCTTTGCTTAGCAATTCTGTTGGGTTTTTTTTTTTTTGCTGCTTCTCACGGAATTATGATGAGATCAGTTCCTTTCTGCATTCTTTTCCTTCCCATGTACCCTTCCCACAGATGCCATGATCGTGAGGCTCTCAGGTCAGGCAAAGGGAATATCACAGAGGAGAAGTGCTCATCTGTTTTATCACGCTGCCAGGGTTTAAAAAACTTCAAGTGATCATAAGGTTACTGGCCAGAAGCCACAGCATTGAAGCACCCAAGCAAAGCATCTTAGCTTTGTAGTGTTCCAAAGGTGTTTTAAGGATGTTGAAACACTTTACTCGTTTGGTGTTTCTGATCAGTGGGAGTTCAGTTCAACTGGTACTTTTTCCTAATGTTGTGAATTCTAAATTTGATGGCAGTAACTTTTTTGGGAGGGAAGAAAGGAAGATACTGGCTAGAAAAAAGAAAGTGAGTGATTGTCACTTTCTGTAGAGCAGGAGAGATAATAAACAATGGTGGGGAGCAACAGAGGAGTCAGCATATAATTAAGATGCAGAGAAAAGATAAATTAGCATCCTATTATGTGGAAGGAGGAATAAAAAATGCTAACCAAAAATAAGAGGAGAGATAGTAAGTTTCATTAAATAAATTCATGAAACTAAGAATTGTTTGAAGTTGAAGTTTCTAGGAAAGGGAGTTGTTAGCAAGGCCTTTCTCTCTTCCTTACTCATCTTGTTAATTAAAAACAGACAAAAAGCTTTGGTGTACCCAGACTATGCAACTACTAATTAACTGCGATTTTGTATGACTGCTACAGGGACCCTTATCTTTTTCTTGCTTTGTCTTTTTCCATATTCCTTGTTATACATCATTGATACGATATTAATATGAACACTTGGATCAAGGACAATCTTGTAGCTTCTTTTTGGTGCGCTGCCCTAGACTGCTGTCAATTAGGATGCAATTATGGTTATAGTTACTTAAAATCAACACAGCAAGTGTGTTAGATCTAACAGTGCTAATCTGGAATGTGTAGCCAGTCCCTTTAAGCGTGGTGTTGTAGATATGTAGAGTGTAGGTGGATAGTAAGGTTAGCCCTTGTTTCTGCATGTTTCTGTAGGTATTTTGACCTCTAAGGGAAAACACAAAACTCATTAGAGGGAGCCTTCTCTGCTTCCTTATCTTCGAAATGATTTCTTGCATTTGCTCCCCTGCCATATCCAGCTTTATGGCTTTCATTATGCAGCTGAAGCAATGCAACGTATTTTTGGCAAATGATACTATATGAATTATGGAAATGACCAAGTCTTTCTGCTTTCAGAGTAAGAAGGTTCCTTTGGAGAAGGGTTTATGTAGATGTACACAGAACAGGAATTTGGAGGGGAGGAGAAAGTGAATATTGCTAGAGGGTGCTAGAAAAGCTTAAAGGAGTAAGTAGTTTACAAAGAATCACAGAATCACAGGGTTGGAAGGGACCTCAAGGATCAGGAATCTCCAACCCCCCTGCCACAGGCAGGGCCACCAACCTCCACATTTAATACCAGACCAGGCTGCCCAGGGCTCCATCCAATCTGGCCTTGAACACCTCCAGGGACCGGGCATCCACAACCTCTTTCTGCAGCCTGTTCCAGCACCTCCCCCTCTCTCTCTGTAAAGAATTTCCCCCTAAAGGCTGTGGAAGTGGGATCATCTCTATTCCATATGTGGTTTTCTAGAAAGATCATAACAATTCTTTGTCAGTTTTTTATCAGGAGTTAATTGTGCTGGAGGCGAATGGTGCTGTGGCCACCATTCAGAGGAGTCTAGAGCTGTAATAAATTCAGAGTGGCCTTGGGTTACCAGATTTTTGTCGCTGATGCAACAGTGTTCCCTCATCGTTGCTTTTTGGCTTTTGTCTTCTTCTTTCAAGTGTATTTACACATTGTCACTTGTACCCATCTATGGACTTGTGCTTTAATTTAGGTTTCATAAACCTCTTTATCAGAACTGTTACGTTTATCTCTTTTGCACACACATTTAAGAAATAATTATTTTTTGTGAATGAAGATTCTACATGATAGTAAAGAGTTTGCTTTAATTTTCCCCCTCATACAGCTCACTTGTGAAAGATGCTTCCTCTGTACCCCTCATGGATGTTACTAACTTGTCTACACCTCGAAAGTTCCTCGAAACTTCCCAGTTCAGTACTCCTGGAAGCTCTAGCAGTGAGTATTTCAGTCACTTGTGTTCCTACCTGGCTTATTTTGTAGCACTTCAATTGGTTTTTCAAGAGTAGTAGAGGATGTGTCTTCCCCTCTTCACAGATGTCTGCTAATGGGGGTCCTGAGATAAAAAGATATAAAGAAAATTTGTAAAATACTGTGAAATGAGAGAATGGTAAATCGAGGGGCAGAATTCAATCATATCTGCAGATTTTTTTGGCAAGTAATCCTTACTTAAATTAAATACACTTTGTTTTCTTTGTCTGTTCTTGTGTTGATCATATCTGTGATATCTGGACAAGAGATCAGCAGTCAGTTCAGTTTCCATAGAAGTCTCCTCTATATTTTATGTAGTCAAGCAAGTATATGTAGATATCACAGAAGTATTTTGTTGTGTTGGAGCCAAAAGGTCAAAGCTTTTCCTTGTGGGATCTTTCCAAGTTTGACTAAAGGACTCCCTAGGCACAGGATTAATCTGGTTGTCTTTGTATACCTGATGCAACAGGTACTAAGCAAAATACTCAGATTTATTTATTATTATTTTGTACGAAGCTTTGAAAGCACTGCACAGATGGGGAATTAATCCTTGTATTGTTTCAGTGGATTAATGTGTGGTTGTCCTTGTTCAACAAATGAATAAAATGAAGAATACAGAAGTGACCTACATGTCTGTCCCACTTGCCTCCTTGTCAGTCTTCCTCAAATTGGGATATTTTTTTAGTCTTCTCACCCTTAACCATTTCTTTCCTTATTTTTGTCAGCTTGAGTCTGTTGTTTTGTGCTATACTTGCCTCCAACCTCTCTTCTGTGATCATTCTTCTGCTCATTTTTGTTATGTGGCTGTGTTTCTGTTGAGGTGGCTTGTCTCTCAGGCGGAGGCTGTAATTCTTCCTAGTGGGGGTTTTTGAGATTTGTGATGTGCCAATACAAATTTACAAAGCTGGAAAGAGCAGCTTCATCATGGAACCCTAGGATAAAAAGCATGCAAAAATTCTGAGTGTCACTGTCAGAATTATTGTACTTAACCCATATAAACAGTGAAGCTCAGTTCTTTCCAAAATCACATGATTTGGGGAGATAAAAGAATAAACCACGCACAGCTGTATGCTGTTCCCACCACTGTAAATGTTAACCTACTTTTCATAGAATCACAGAATGGCCTGGGTTGAAGAGGACCACAGTGATCATCCAGTTTCAACCCTTCCACTGTGTCCAGGGTTGCCAATCACCAGGCCAAGGTGCCCAGAGCCACATCCAGCCTGGCCTTGAATGCCTCCAGGGACGGGGCATCCACAACCTCTCTCAGTAACCTGTTCCAGTGCTTCACCACTCTCTGAGTGGAAAAACTTCCTCCTAATATTTAACTTAAATCTCCTGTCATAGTTTAAAACCATTCCCCCTTATCCTATCACTATCCACCTTCACAAGCATCACACCCTTTCTGTTTATACATTCCCTTCAAATAAGGGAAGGCCACAATTAGGTCGCCCCAGAGTCTTCTCCAAGCTAAACAAGTCCAGTTCCCTCAACCTTACTTCATAGCAGAGGTGCTTCAGCCCTCTGATCATCTTAGTAGCCCTCCTCTGGACCTGCTCCAAGAGCTCCATATCCTCCTTGTGCTGGGGGCCCCAGGCCTACTACTTTTGCTGTAAGTGAGTTGTGTAATATCTGCCGTTGCTGATAGTTTTCCATCTAAACCATGAATCCTCCTAGCAAAATAATGATAGTGATAATAAAGAAGAAAAAAGTCTGAAGTTGCAGAGCTGATAGGAATCTCCCATTGTGTTTTATTGATGGGGAATAGACAGCAGGAGATGCGCCTGTTGAAAAATGGAATCCCTATCTTTCATCATCTTTTGTCTTCTTTTTTTTTTTTATTGCTAGTGTAACAACAATCTTAAATCTGCTTTGAAATTATTTTTTTGACATTTTCATCTTTGAAGACTTTCACAGCCCAACCAATTCTCATCTCACCTGCTGAGACTGAGAAAGGGTTCATTAATATCTAGAACTGGGGAGGAAAAATGGAATTAAGCAGACAAAAATAAGAACAGAAGAGTTAATAAGGATGAGAGAGATTGTTTTTTGATTTATGTATTTTAGGCATCTCAGATCTGATGCAGTGTTGATGACATCTCTTGTTCTAAGATTCTCTGATAAAGTTATTTTGTGCAGTGTTTGAGTGGACGCAAAGTGTTTGAGATGGAAGCAAAGATACAAGCAACGGGTAAAAATACAAAGAGATTTCTGAGAAATAGGTTGGTTGTGGGCATAAAACAGCATGGCTGCTTTGACTCCAAACACCTGAAAACAAGGCTTTGATAGCTTCATTCTCAACTGATGTAAATTGTTATACATCATCTGAGGATCTGCCATCAAACCTCTCATTTGTTCAGATCTTTTGCTGTTCATGCTCATTGCACCAGAAAATCTTTCACCTGGCTCCTTGTTTCACTCTATTACACAGTCTTGTGCTGGGCAAGTGTCCTTCAGAATGGGAAAGATAGAGGATATAATAGCAAACGTTTGGTCAGCATGAAGCATGCATATGGTTTTGCTTGAAGCTCACAATGTACTTATGTACTTTTTTTTCCCAGATAATTTTATTTAAAAGTAGTCTTTTCCAGGGCTGCAAAACTATTAGAAATTTAAAACTTATGTGTGTGCATTATGAAAGCTGTTTCTGCCTTTAGTCATTGAGGTTCTTTAGCTTTTTATTGATGAAACGAAGTGGCCATGCGTATTAATATACACCACTATGAAGCACTGACTCATTCAACCTATCTCAGCAAAGAAGATGCCAACATTTTTGAGTCCTTTCTGCATTTGCTTCCCAAAAGAGACGTTACTTTGTGCTGTAGAATCTTTATAAGGAAATTAAAGCAGTTCCTCCTGCACTTTAAAATAAACAGAATCTTTGGTAATGTTCACCTGAGGATTGTAGAAACGGCAGCTCATGGCAGCACTTTCCCTTCGTGCCAGTTCAGAGAAATAAATTCACTTCTAAATTTTATTTTTCTGCGTGAACTTTCTCTGTTCTGAAGCATATTTATGGCAGTTTCTGCCTTGCCAGGCTCTTCCTGGAACTATAAAATGTTCTCACTCAGTACACAGAAATCCTAGGAGATTTCTTTCCTGAAAAACTCATGAAATTGCATCTTAGAAAGCCAACAGAAGGCAACCTGAAGTGGAAACGGTGTTGGTAACATGTACTTATGGATGGGATTTGTAAATTTTATGTAGGTGATATTCTTCTGTGATGGATATTCCTCAGCAACAAGAGAAAAACTTAGCTTCTAGATCCAATCAGTATGGTGGCTTCAAAGATTAAATGTGTGGTTACTGCTCAAGAGTGCAAGTCCCTCTGTGTAGGTGGAAGCATGGGGAGACCTGTGAAATACCCTGAGGAATCCTGGAGCTTTAAGGTCCAGTTTTAAAGGTGCTCTAAAAATACCATTCTGACATTCTCTGTTTGGTGTCACAGTTGCTTCCACCTTAAGCATGCTCAATAAATAAATAAAAGTGTTTTTTCTTTATTAATATCACTTGGGGATTTGACACCAGCGGGGTGATTTTTTTTCTCAAGCATTCACACTAAAAGTTAAATACTCTTGCTAAACCTGGCTTGTCCTGTGAGCTGTTTTGCATTTGCACAGGTCCAATTGAGGACTTAATCAGAAGGTGGTGGAACCCAGCAGTGAGTCTGTATTTTTTTTCCTGCTGTCATTATAGTGCAGTGTGAAAAGCACAGTTTGTCTTGATTGTTTCAGGGTAAATTTTTGTGCCTACTTACTTAAGGAGGAAGGCTGTTCTTGCAGTTTAAGACTGTTTTGCCACTGCACAACAAACATGAAAGCCTGTGAAGTAACTTTTAATGTGCTGTTTTGCAGGGCTGTGCTTTCTCACTGATCTTCACCAATGGTTCACATTCTGGCTTGATGCTGAGCACTGACACGTAATGCATGTGTGTTTAGAGGAGGAAAGGGAAAATGGAGAGAGCTTTAGATCCACGTGGTGAAATCCAAAAGGAATACTTGTCTCCCTTCTTGAAGAATTTGATTAGTTTTTTTTTTTTGGAACTTGGAAACAGTGCGTGGGGTGGATTTTCAGAGTGGCTCATGGGGTTGCTTGGTGCAGTTTTCTTAAATGAGGTTACAGTAGGTTTGAGAGAGTGGCCTTGTCAAATTCCAACATCTCTGCTTTTGGAAGACTACTGTCCTAAAAACTGTACGTAGACCTGTATCAGTCACAGTTGGAGATTTGCCTTCAGGCTTTGAGGTTATTGATCTCTTAGGTCTTTTTTCTTTTGGTCTTGGTACTAAGGCAGGTCAGGAAATGATCAAAATCTTTAAGGGACCATTTGTGAAGGAACTGCCCATTTGCTGCCTGTTATCTCCACTTACAGATCAAAAAAAGGATTCAGCACCACAATTAGCAGGTTAAATTTCTTCAGATATCACATGCCTTTGGGAGACTGTGAATTGGCATTATTTTCTCTGAAAGTATCAAAGACACAGAATTTATCATCTGGAAGGACATGAATCATGGAAAATAGTATGTTAAATTTTAGTGGTTGCCCATAAATGTGCACATCTGTAATAAGTAGCAGCAAATTTTGAAGATTCATTGGAATGAAAAACAAGACCCAAGAATCTTTTCTTAGGCCTGTTACACTTAAATGAGTTACCAACATAAGCTTTTCTGGGGATCAGTGATATTGAAATGTCTCTTGCAGCAGATTTCTTGTGAAATGGCAGAACAGCACAGATTAGAGTTTCATCGGTTGGAGCAGATGTTTTTATAGGGTATTGTCAAAGCAGGAAAACTTCTCTCCCTTTCTGTCTGTGAAGGTGATAAATCAATGATGCACATGATTAAACTTTCTGGTGATTTGAACTGGATATGGATTTTGGCTTAGACATGGAGTTGAGTGGTTTTTTCCAATACCCAACTCTCGTCTTGTAAAGCATCTGAAAATGTCTCCGTGCTTCATTAGAGAGGTT